TGTTGAGGCACAAGTGTGATCCTGGAGTTGAAAGGGACGGATTTTTCTGGGTGGTTTCCAAACTTCCTTGGAGGGCATGCTCCGAACGGGGTCTCTGGAGTGAGGAGACCCCTGGGAAGGGGTTGGGGGATGTTTGGGGGGACGAGTGTCTGTCACGCCGTGGGGCTGGTCCCCAGTGGTGCAGAAGCAGCTGGCCCGCAGCAGGGAGGGTCACGCTGCCCATTCCTGGGTCGCTGTGGGGCTACTTTTATTGCCATGATTGGTCATGGTTTCTCATGACCCCGAGCATGACCTCTCAGGCTTGTGAAGTGTGGTTCTTCCAGAGGAATCCGAGAGGAGTGAGGGCGCCCATGTGGGAACCCGGAGGGAAGCAGGAGTTCGGTTAGGAAACAAGGCTCGGAGCTATTTCATATTGAACCTGGAATCCGTTCCTGGGCCTGCCGTTTTTTATTAAAACCTTAGTCTTTTTTCTTTCATAATTGCAACTATGTTCTTCTTGTTTTCCTTGGATAATGGGCTATTATTTCAACCAAGAGTGATTTGGACTTTAACCGGAGAACACGACACAAGCTTTGAAGTCGGACCTTTTCCAACTGTGGGCTGGTCCTGGCTCCACCACCCGAAAAGCAGTCGCGTTTATACGTATTTGCATAGCCATATAGCAGACTAGCTGCATACACCCAGGCCGCTTCAAAGCTGGTCCTAGTGGGGGCAGGTGGACACGCGAAGCCCCTGCGGTGCGGTCTGGCCTTGGCCCAGCACACACACCCGGGCCTGCCTCCTGCTGACACCTGGTCTCAGCAAGCCCCAGCCATCGCGAGCCCCTCTCCTCCCGTGGAGACCAACACAACGAGGAGGCGGCAGTCTCACACGGGGCCCTGTACGCAGGACACGCTCCAGACCCGCCTCTTCGCCTGGGAAGCAGGATAAGGTGAGGGCAAGAAACAGAGGACCTGGCTCCACTTTGTGTAACAGAAGTGGGAAGCGGGGAAGGAGGGGAGGAGGGGAAGAGGGAGAGAGAGGAGGGAAGGCAGAATAGGTGAAGGATTAAGTCAATACCCACTTCCAGTCCTTGGGTAAGTTTTCTAACCTCCTTATCTTAGGTTCTTTATTTATAAAAGGGGGATGACAACAGTCACCCTCACCCTGGCTTGGGCACATTCAAGAATCAACCCATGAATGCATAAAAAAGTGCAACAACAAACTGTTTCTTCTTCTCTCCCTCTTCCCCTTTCTCTAAAATAATAAGAGACACCTGCCCTCATTCAGTTGTTTTTGAGGATAAACAAGACAACCCGTGGACAGCAGCTAGTGTGGAATGCCCTTCCTTCGTAGCTTAATGAGAGCAGCTATCACCACCACCACCCACCCAGCTATCTTTCCGGTTGGCATCTGGTCTCCTCTCCCCACTTGTACTCTGCTGGCCCTGCACGTAAGCCCTGTAGACGCCTAGACAACGCTGAGGTGCCCTCTCTTGTTTTCACGTTAGAAAGCACCAGTGAGTTAATGATGATGCCGTTAATAGAATTCAGTGTCATCTTACCAAGCTAAGGATGGTGGGACCAGCCCGTCCCCAGGAACTGGGTCAGGACTGGGGCTATTCTATTTATAGCCCAGCAAGAGGCACACTGAATGTGACCCCAAAACAGAGTTTGTAGCCACAGGAACTGAAACCGAGTCCGAAGCAAAAGTGACCCGGGCTGCTCCGGCTGTCCTGCGTGGGAAAGCAGGGGCCGGGCCGAGTGAGCAAGCAGGTCAGTGGGTTGTTTGTTCTGAGCGTTAGAGCAGGCCAGTGTGTGTGTGTGAGGGGGAGCAGGGGGTGGTGCGGGGGTGGTGCTGGGAACTCCCACAGATAGGTCTAATGTCGCATTCGCTAACACCACGATGACTCATCATTTTGTCTTCCTAGTAATCCAGAAAGGGTCACTGGCAGGACTTTCTAACAGGGGCATTCTGACTTTTTCGATGAAGGCCAAAGTCAACATGAGAAAATCCTTTTTCTGGTCTGCAGTGACAGCCACTGTTCAGCCGGTGTTTCCGTGTGCGAGCCCCCTGCTTGGTGCATGTACTTTCCTTACACACATAAAGCAGCACGATGGGTTCCCGTTTTATCGGTGAGGAAACAACACTCAGGTCGAGGAAAGACCCACACTGGACCCCTCTCACCGGCGAGGCCGCCTCCATGGCCCTCGCCGCTCTCCCCGCCTGCGTCTGGCGACCTCACACTCAGGGCCCCAGGCGGCCTGGTGGGAGTGTTTACCCTTTGGGAATTGCCAAACAGTACAAATCAGGGCGCCTCCTGTATAAACTGCCCGAGAACTGCTCGTTAAATATTTACCAGCCGCTGAATGGGCAGAGGCAGAGGCAGGATTCAAACAGAAGCTCTCTCCTCCTCACGTGCATCCTCTTCCCAGCTGCCCCGGCGGACGGCCTCTCATCAGCACACCTGCCTGGAGGTGCGGGGTCCCCAGGAAGCCAGCTGAGCGGCAGGGAGCAGGCTGACCGCCGGCCACCAGGGCTCCTGCCCCTCCTCCCCCGGCCCCAGGAGATGCCCTGGTCACTCGGGTATTATTAGTAAACACCTTAGTCCTTTTCCTGGTCTGTGCTGAGCTGAAGGTTCGCTGAAATGACGAGGCCTGGGTAGGCTGGAGGCAGGATTTGGAAGGTAATAATAATAATGCGCTCCCCTATACAGCACTTTTCATCCTCAAAGCACATCGTAGCCATTTGCCAATTAGTCCTGGGTTGTGCCCTGTGTGCAATGCAATGCTCCATGACAGGCCGGACTAGAAAGAAGTGTTTAAACCGATACAGGTGACTGTCGCCCATTTACAAGCGCCGCAGCTTCTGTTGCTGGGGGTGGGGGGTAAGAGATACAATCTCACAAATGCTGGTTTTGAATCCCAGGCACTGGAAATGTGAAGTTGCTGTTGTCACCTTCTGCTGTTCGGTTCCCCAAACCCTCTCCCTGTGCTGAGGGGGCCGAAAGTCTTTTTAAAAATCATTGTATCCACACTCAAGCTTATACAGAGTACACCCTCTTTTGCTGGGAAAGATAAAATAAGCCTCGGCTTACTAGAGAGTCTGGACCTACGTGAAAAATGTCTGGATCGCCTGCCAGGAAGGAGCCCGGGCTGAGTCTGATCTGGCAGCGGCCGGCTGGGGATCGTGGGTAACTCTCTCAGCCTCTCTGTCTCCGTTCCTCCCTGCTGCCTCACAGGCCTGCTGCAGAGCTGTGCTGAGAAGCAGCATGCGGCCGCCCTTCCGAGTGAGGCTGTGCGTGCTTGGCAGACGTGCCGGCATCATTAACGACCGGCCAGCCTGAGATTCCGTGGACCCCCGAGGCTGGCAGGGCAGGAGGGCCACTCCCAGATCACACTGCCCACTGCTGACTGCTGTCGCGACCGACTGGCTGTTTGAAATACAAGGGACCAGGCTACCCACCTCCCCACCCCCTAGTTGCCTCTGCTAGAACTGGAGCTGGGAACCCCTCCTGCGTCCGAGGTAAGCCCCCACTCAGTCGGCTCTCGGCTCTGCAGGCGGCGAGCTCCTCCATGTCGGGAGGGCGGCCCAGCAATCCTAACTGTTAAGGAGCGGAGAGCAGGGAGCTTGGCACACAGATGCGCTGTGTGGAGGGACAGTCAGCTGGCTGAGGGGTCCTGACGCTGACTAGCACATCGTCTGGGAGTGCTGTCAGATCCAGCGGCCCAGGCCTGGTGGGAGCTCCCATTCAGCACCCTGTGGGGCCCGGAGCAGGTCTCTGAGCTCCTGGGCAAGTCGAAAGAGCTGAGTCCTGTGCAGCAGGGAGCAGGGACTTCCTCAAGGTCACCCGGCCAGCTTACGGCAGAGCTGGGGGTGGACCCTGGCCTATTTTGTCATGGGAATTCCCGAGGTTTCAGGGCCAGGGGCAAAGTGCGTGGTGAGGGATCGGAGCCGGGCAGCCGTCCAGGTGGCCGAGCCGGAGTCTGTCGGCTCTGCTCTGGCCTCTGAGAGAGAACATTCCTGGTGCCCAGAATCCAGGAGGGAGAGCCATGCCTCCCAGTCCCCAAGAAGGACTGCGCTGGGTCCGTGCAGGTTCCCGGGGAAACGGGCTCCCAGGAGAAAGCATGTGCGGCCCGCACAGGGGGCCGCTTCCCCTCCACCTGGGGGGCAGGTGGTTTGAGAAGAGCTGGGGCAGCGGGCGGCGTTTGTCCCTCACCTCCGTGGCAGGTCCCGCGTCCTTCTGTGAGCGCCTTCGGCGGAAGAGTGCCCCACCGAGCTGCGAATCTTGTAAAGCTGCCAGGCGGGCTGTTGCAGTCAGCTGGTGTGAGTGAGGGGAGCCGTGTGACGGAGTAGTGAGGCCTGGCTCCGGTTCCCAGCTCCCGGCTCTGCTGCCGCTCTGAGAGACTCCACCGCTCTGGGGCCTGTTCTCCGCTCTGTACCCTAGTGAGACGCAGGGGGAGGGCCTGGGTGCAAGCAAGATGACTCCTGAGACCCTGTCTGGCTCCAATAAGCCACACACTTAGGACCAACGGTCCTCGGCTCTGCTCCTGGATGGTGCAGAGCTGCCAGGTCTGAGCCCGGGCCACAGACGTGCCCGGGGTGTAAGCCCCACAGTGCCACAGGCGCTCTCCCGTCAGCCGAGGGAAGGGTGAGGGGGACAGAGGGACGGACTCATTGCACATTCAGCAAACTTTAACGACGGCCGTGTCCCAGTGCACACGGAGCTGTAGGGTGGGGAGGGGGTTGGTGCTGGGACCCAGCGTTCAGAGCTGCAGCCTGGGCCTGGCTGAGTGCACGGCTGACACCATGCAGGCTGGTCAGTTTGGTCCGGGCAGCACCTTTCCAGTGCAGGACTGCCCCAGTGGGAAATGGTGGGAATGTAAACCACACACACACACACACACACACACACACACACACATGGAGGGTTTGATCTTAACCCTTACAAGAGGTCTTAGGGACAAAGAATAAGGGTGTGTGCATTTATGATGTCTTACTTTGAAAAATATTGCATCAGAACTTTTGTGACTTTATTTCTCCCAGTCAGGACTACACTGCGGAACAAAGGGAGGACCGGGGTGGGGGCTCCAGGTCACGGCAGCCAGCCCGGCCTGGGCGCCAGGCGGGCTCTCGAAGCCGCCGTGTGGGGTTGAAACGCTGCGTGAAGACGGTCCAAGTGGCTTCCAGGAAGCAGCCTGTGTGCTGACACGCATGTGGACAGAGCAGTCTGGCTGGCCCCCGCTCCAGACTGGTGTTTCCTAGAGCTTTCCATTGGCAAACGCTGCCTCCTGGAACTGAGGGACAAAGGTTCTGAAATAAGCCCTGGTGGGAGAGGGAGAGAAAACGCGGTTAGCACAGACAGCTCGGAAAAGTGCAGCGTGGAGCGTTCCTCCTGACTCAGAACAGTTGCTTGCTATTGTTCAGGCATCTTGGGTTGGATTTCCCTTCCTGATGCAAAGCCTCTGGCTTCTGCCTAGGGAAGTGCATGCACTTCGCTATTGTTCTGTCTGCACGGATCCTTAAAGGGCCGTGCTCAGACCTTCCCATGAGACATCGGTGCTCAGGTCTGTCTGCTGGTTCCCAGCCCAAAGGCAAGGGCCTGTTCCAGCGACAAGCCAGAGACTTGACCACGCCAACCACCGCCACTCGCGTCACGCGAAACATAAAGAGGGTTGCACTTTTCCCTCAGTTGAACCGCTGACTTCATGCAGACACAGCGGGTCTAATTAAAGGATTTCTAATCCCTGGCCTCCATTTATTTCCAACCAAATGTGTAGCTTGTTCTCCTGGAAAGAAAGCCAGGCTGGGCATCAAGAGGACCCTCCCTCCCTGTCAGTCAAAGCCTCCTGCCAGGAGGGGCACACCTTCTGCCGTTTGCCTCTCTGGCATTGGGTTCAAATCTGCAGAAGCTGGCCCTACGGTGCACATCAGGGCAGGGCACATGCTGAGCCCAACCTGTGCCAGGCACAGCACGGATACCGGGGCTGTGAGATGACACAGATATGGCACCTGCCACATAGGAGGTCTCAATGCAGAGGAGAGAGACATATAGTAACACCCCCTCCCACCCCGACAGCTCCATGTGCACTGGTACACAGCCCATCCTGACCCCTAGGCTGTCGTTAGGTTTGCTGAATGTGTGATGAGACCATCCTTCTGTCCCACCTCTCTCCCAGACTTCCAGCCTGAGGCCTGCTGTTTCTCTGCCATTCAGCACATCTGACCCCAAAGAAGTGCTCCCCACTCTTCATACTTGCAAGAGCTCAGGCCCATCTGTACTTCTGTTCCCGCCTCTCTCCAGGCCCTGGGGTGGACTCACCTTGCAGGTCCTCCCTCTACCTCCCAAATGTCCCCTCCTTCCTAACACCCTCTGGCTCTCAGTCTTGTTACCTTTCAACAGCGATTTCTCGCCTAACACAGGCCTACATCACCTCTGAGTCACCACCGATCGGGAATCTTCTCATCCCAAACTCGCAGCTGCACACAGGGATTTCCACTCTGGCTCCACAAGACTCCAAAGGTCCCCTCACCTCCATTACACTTTTGGGATCTTGCCCCCCTCCTCCCCGCCCCTTTGAGAAGCTAAGAAAGCTAAGGGTCCTCTTCCAGCAAAGCTGCTCCCCACTGCGATGCCTCGTGTAGCTGAGTGTGTCGGGCCCTGGGAAGCCCATCACGGTCCTGGGTGTGACTTCCACCCTCCAATCCGGCCACTGCTCTCCCCTAACACGGGGCATTTTCCTCCTCGGGCCCTTTTCCACGCTCAGGCCCTGCTCCCAGCAAGTCCTCCCCAGCCTCCGGCCGGTCCTCTCCCTGCACGTGGACACCATGCCTCTCCCAGGGCGTCAGTCACGCGCACGCACGTCTCCCCTGCTGGGCTGTCTGCCAGCCCTAGAAAGCAGAGAGCACGTCCCTTCCCGGTGACCCCACGCCCTGCCCACTGTGCGCTCAGCAGGCCCTTGGCGGCTGTTGTTAAGTGACTGCTGAGGGCCGCCGGATGCAAGCAGTTAAGGCGTGCCCGCTACGTGCTGTTTAAGAAGGTGAGAGACGGCACCCAGAAGCACACAAATGCTAATACTCTGGAACTGAAGAAGAAAATGTCCGCTCTCAAACTTTAAATATGCCAACAATTAGTGAGAAAGAAAGACCAGCCCCTCCTTCATCCTCATCTTGCTAACACGGTCCAAACTGTCACCTTCTCTGAGATTTCAGACCCCAAGCGCTGACCCATCCCCTGAACATGCCTCTCCTGGTCCTCATGGCGGGGGGGGGGGGGGGGGGGGGGGCAGAGGGGGGAGGTGCAGCCGGGATGACAGGTCAAGAGGCAGCGGGAGGAGGAATGAGCAGCCCTGGTTTTCTTGGGGAACTTCTGGGGCAGGGGCTGCTCCTTGTGGTCAAGAGGGAGCGTGCCTTACAGCAGCTCCTTCCTGCTTCCCACAGCTCCGCTGGCTCCTGTTCTGCCCCGGGCTTTCCCGCCGGCCCTCCTGTGTGCCCTGGAGGGAAGAGCCTGGAGAAGGCTACTCACAGGCATGAGACTCAGCACCTCTCGAAGTCGGTTAAGGGAGGGAAATGACAACAGCTCTCAGCTGGAGATAGATTTTTTCGAGCGCTGTTTTCATTTCTTTCACGTTTTTATTGGAGAAAATGGAGAGCTGCCTTAGTATATGTTGCCATCAGCACTAGTTACGTGTCACCTTTAAAAACCTCTTGAACCCAGAGACAAAGTGTGTGCAGCTCTGGAAGTGTGCCAGGGTCGGGAGGGCAGGCCTCGCCTCCCCACTGACCCGCCAAGACTGCAGACAGGAAAGGGACCCGCGGCAGCCGGCTCCTGGTTCTCCTCACACTGGAGTTTATTTTTAGATGAACTGGCGCTCAGCATGCCTCAGGACGAGGGAAGGTTCTGATCCTTTGTTTATCCCCAGCCCTTTGCACCCGGTTTTACAAAATCAGAACTCGGTGCAATGCCAGCGTCCGAGGCTAGGAGAACAAATGGAGGTTTTTCCATGACTTGGAGCTTGTCTGACTCCTGGCTCAGGCCTCAGCTCGCAGGCACAGCAGGGGCTGAGCAGACAGACTGGGAGCAGGGGTCGGGGAACTGAGATGCTCAGAGGATCTACCCTTCTGCATCTTGGATCCAGGGTTAAGTCTCTTCTCTGGGCTCACCTATAAAGCAGGGAGCCGAGGCTGGTGACCTGTGGGGCCTGCAGCTGGCAGGCTGTGATGGACGGGCAGTCACGTGGGCTCTGGAGCCCGCCACTTGCTCCCTCCTGGCCTATCTCTGGGGCAAGAGACCCCTTTTTAGTTTTAGTTTCATCACCTGCGAAGGAGAGGAATACTACCCACCTTAAGGGTCAATGCTCACGAGGAGGGAGACTTGGCCTGGAGCCTGTCATAACAGACGATCAACAGATGCCAACTGCTACCAAGGGACCGAGCTGGGTCTGGGAGGAAGAGGCTGCACCCTGTGGGGACAGTGAGACCCTCTGGGGAGAGTCCCAGGGTCTCTGCCCTCAGCTCATCATTTCCCGCGGCGTCGGGGTCACTGTTCACTGTCACACTGAGCTGGCCGGTGGGGGCACGGAGATGGCCGGCCTCAGGGTGAACATCCAGCAAAGTCGCCAGGACACTGTGCATCTCAGATCCAGTGCAGAGCTGCTGGGGATATGCGTGGCATCTGGGGTTAGCCCTGCAGTGGAGGCGCCTGCAGGCCCTGCTGCTCCTGCCACCCTGCCGGGTGCTCCTACGAGGGGCTCTGGTCAAAGGCTTGGCCGGGGAGAATTGATGCTGTGGATTGGAGGGCGTTTAAGAATCATGGGGCTCTGACTGCCTGTGGTGGGGGCACTGGAGCTGGCCTCAAATCGGCCGTTTTCTGATCAGGATAGTATGTATCATAAAGGGGAGCTGGTGGGGAAGTGGAAAAAGCACTGAACCGCGAAGCAGAAGACATGAGTTCTAGTCCCCACCCCGGCTTGTTGGTCACTGGAAACTAGGACTCACTGTCTTCAGCTGTAACAAGATTTGTACTTGATGGTCTCTACGTGCCATCCCATTATGGCTCTAAGAAATCCATGTGACCTTGTGCACGCCACTTGACCTCACTGTGTCTTGATTCTTCATCTGTTAAATCAGGGCACCAGCCAAGCCCCAGCCAAGCCCTGGGTCCAACGTGTCCTAAGCGGTGGCCGTGTGTGAGGTGGCGAGGTGGGTGGTATCATAGTTATCGCCATCCTCCGGGATACCTTTGCACAAATGGGGCGGGGGTGGTGATGGACGCTGCAGAGCCCTGAGCAGAAGGTGGTGGTACCCCAGGCAGTTCCTGTGAGGGATGGAAGGCCTGGCCAGCCCTCTGCCCTCCCATGAGAGGAGGCCTGGAGAGAGGAAGCTGGAGTAAGTTGATAGGGGAAACAACGCACGAGGAAGTCAATAGTCCCCTGTCTGGGGAAGGCGCTCAGGCCCCTAAAGAGAGTTATAGGGAGCCGTAGGAGCATCCTCAGAGGCCTTGGGGAAGGCAGTTAGAATCTTTGTTCAACGAGGTCTCAGCAGCAGGGGTTTTCCCTACCAGAGTTAGTTTCTAACTCATTAAATGATCGTTTCAAAAGGACAAAAGTCCATGAAGTCAAAATCTGAAAATCTGAATCAGGACAGCTTTAGGGAAGTGAAAATAAAAACAGGCCATAGGGCCCAAGGAGGTGGGCTCTGGGAAGGGAAAGGGCGGCCGAGCGCAGCACGGCTGCCGCTCACACCAGCTCCCACCTGCCAGGGGAAACGAGCTTAGCAGGTTCACCGAGATGCCTGCCCGAGGCCACTCCGACCCCAGGGCCCCGAGCACATCTCACAGGAGCACATCTCACAGGAGCACATCTCACAGGAGCACGCCCTGTGGAGGGCCCTGTGGTCTGGCCGCCTTTAGCCTCGCTCACGTAGGACCTGTTATTCCGCAAGGACCCAAACAATTGCCTTCTTCCAAAACAGGACCAAAAGTAGACTCTCTGGAATCCAAAAATACTTTTCTCTGGACAATCATAGATGAGCTGTATGATGTTGGCCAGAGTCAGGCCAACGCGGTGGCGAGGCGGGCGGGAGGAGTGGTTCAGAGACACCACCCTCATTGTCAGGAAACCAAGAACGTATAAATCAAGTCAGAATTCATTTTGGCAAATAGAGGCAAGTTCCCAAACATCTAAGGCTCATTTCTTTTTCCAGTTTTCTTCGGCAGCAGTGACTTAACTGGCACATGTTTTCAATCAGTCACATGAAGACTGATTGTGGTCTGCAAATCAAAGCAGTCCTGTAAATAGTGAATGACAAGTCCCGCTAATCATGCC